AAAGAGTGTCGGCTGTGGGGAGGGGAGAGGGAGACATGGGGTTGAGTGGGCACGAAGTTGATTTGGGGGACAGGAGGGGACTGAAAAGGAGGGAGAACTACAGGAGGCGCTCTGTTTGCTTCAAGATCTCCTTTTTTCATCCACTCCACCCTACCATGATTTTGAGGCCTGGATTAATACGAAAAAGAGGAAAAGGCAAGGTTGCTCACATTAACCTTTCTTCCATGCCCGATGCACAGGCCTCCCAGATGTGTGGACCTGCCCCTCGAGCTGTAGCTCTTCACCACCATCTCTACCTTCTTCCTTCTGAGGGATCCCGAAACTTCTGTCATGGAAAAGTACCACGTGTTGGAGATGATTGGAGAAGGCTCTTTTGGGAGGGTGTACAAGGGTCGGAGAAAATACAGCGCTCAGGTGGCGAACAAAGAGGGATATCTCTTGGGTGGGATTCCGCACCCCCAACTCCAGTGGAAAATGGGTCTAGAAGGGAAGCATTCATACCAACCTGTATTCCTAAGGCACTGACGCTTTCATACTTATGGAGTATGAGCTCTGAAATTGGATTACTTGGGTTCATATCCTAGCTTTACCACTTTCTAGCTTTAGAACTAGGGACAAGTTACTTAACCCAGGGATCCCCAACCCCGGGGCTGCGGACCAGTACCTGTTGAGCGGCAGGTGAGTGAGTGAAGTTTCATCAGTACTTGCAGCCACTCCCCAGCGTTAGCATCACACCTCAGCTCCACCTCAGATCATTGGGCATTAGACTGTCATAGGAGCACCGGTCCCTGGTGCCAAAAGGGTTGGGGACTGCTGACTTAACCTGTCAGTTTCAGCTTCCTCATCTGCAGAGTGAAAAGATAAGAACAGTATCTGATTGATGGGGCTTGAGGACGAAACATGATATCACACTGAATGGCTTAGTACAGTGCCTGACACCTAGTAAACAATAATTAAATATTATTATAACTATTAATCTCTATCATACTTTGCAGGAAGAAATAAACCATCTGAACTCTATTCTCTCTCCATTTTTTTTCTTCCTTTCATCTCCCCTAAATCCCTTATATCTTCAGTTCTTTACTTAGATCAGAATACCTCTCCCTGAATCCAGCTAAGGGATCTGTTTGGCAGATGCTATTTCCTCCTAGGGCAAGAGGAGGGGAAGCTTGGACAAGGCCAGGGTACTATGGGGAAAGTGGAATGGGAGACAAACAGTTATGATGAGAGTTGCTCAATCTTAAGTCTCAGTTCTGGAGATCTGATGCTGATGTTTCAGTGGTGTGGTTAGGCCTTGACTCTTCATCTAACCACTGACAGGTGGTGGCCCTGAAGTTTATTCCAAAATTGGGACGCTCAGAGAAGGAGCTGAGAAATCTGCAACGAGAGATTGAAATCATGCGGGGTCTGCGGCATCCCAACATCGTGCATATGCTGGACAGCTTTGAGACTGATAAAGAGGTGCATTCTGGTTTGGGGTCATCTCTCCCCAAGAAGAAGGGTCTCCCTACCTCAGAATGCATAAATACAGGGATTTCCCTACCTCAGAATGCATAAATACAGAGCCATCAGTGCCTTTACCTTCTCCCTTCAGGTGGTAGTAGTGACAGACTATGCTGAGGGAGAGCTCTTTCAGATCCTGGAAGATGACGGAAAACTTCCCGAAGACCAGGTATGTTTCCTGGCTCAAACTTCTCCTCACGCCTGGCTCTCTCCA